AGATTCATTGCACACCAACTGAAATATTTCAGGTCTTTAATTGTTTTAATACTGATGATTATGGCATACAGCTCATGAAAACCCAATCTCATCTTATTTTCTGCATTTAGAAATGTTCTTTCCTTATGTCAAGTCATATATTTTTTATAGAGCACAATTTAAAACAGACAGACTGTTATCAAAGTGCATAACACTAATGGTAACACTAAGAAATAAAAAGCAGTAAGAATATACCTTAAAAAAATTGAAACAACAGCATTAAAATGAAGACATGGAACAAGATATACTAAATCAACTCACACAGTATGAATGTCGGCTTAAACAAGGAATGAGCTCTCACACATTGGGCTGCCTCCTCCCTCTGTTTTAATGTGCCTGTGCTGGTTATTTTACTCCACATTTCCCACAAATCCCTCTGAACTTTCGCTGAAGTATTCACACCTTTGTGTCTTTGTTCTGCATCTGTGTGTTGTTGCACATCTGCTCAGGTCTTGTTTGTTTGCCTCTACTTCCTGTGCGCCTGCCAGAGTTTGACTCATTTGCTTGATAGCATAAAAAAATGTTGGACCAGCAAGTCAAACAGCTGTATGGATTATTTCCAAGCTAAGATTCAGTTTATTCACAGGTGCATAAGGCAAGTTATGGATTTTATATTTTATATCCGAATGATGCTGACAGGCCTTCTTAGCTGCTTATATTTTATTCTTTTCTGTTACTCTCTAACCTTGCGCCCACATGCCAAGCTTTAACTTCTGAATGGAAAAGATTTACAACGTAGACAAAAATACAGAAGCACATAGATTCATGGTCGCTGTAAATTAAAAAAGTGTAATTTATTTCCCAGTTCATCACATTCGTAGCCCAAAATAAAATAAAATAAAAAATGATACATTTACAATAAGTACAAATTCATGCAATATTGTGAGTTGTGACACTTAAGAGTATGTGTTGGGAACATGGATTAAAGCAGAAAAAAATTGTTGGAAAAATTTTCCACACCCACAGGTTACACCCCCCCCCGTACAGTATACTGTGTACATGACCTTAGTAAAAGTGCACAGTATACTGTGTACATGACCTTAGTTAAAGTACACAGTATACTGTGTACATGACATGACCTTAGTAAAAGTGCACAGTATACTGTGTACATGACCTTAGTTAAAGTAAACAGTATACTGTGTACATACCATACCACTTTATTTATAAAGCACTTAAAACAGCTACAAGGCCAACCAAAGTGCTGTACAGACAGAACAACAGGTAACACACAAAGCAAATACAAAATGAGGTAAATCAGAATATAGACAAAAAACGATGCAGATAATGACGACAAACCAGTGTGGAGCATACAGGTTCAAGACACAGATCATCTGGTGTTGAATGCTACTGAATAGTAGTGAGTTTTTAAGCGGGACATGAAAACCGAGAGGGAGGGGGCCTGTCTGACAAGCAGAGGTAACTCGTTCCAGAGTCTTGGTCCTGCTACAGAGA